CGGGCCATAGGTGTCATGATCTACAAGACGGATCGCAACTCATACTGCAACCTGGAGCAGTACAAGCACTACTGTCTGTATAAGGTCTACCTGACAGCCACCGTGTTCGCCTGCCTGTGCTGCCTGGTTTACCTCCTGTCGGTTATTTATGGAGCCTGCAGGAAGTGTAGGGGCGAGCAAACTGTTATCTGAGACTGAAGAGGGGGTGATGGTAACAGGGAGGGAAGAGGGGATATGGGTCTTTGAGGGGGTATCCACAGCAAGATGATGAATAGTTAACTTCACTGTAATTTAACTCAACAGCTACTTTAACCACAGGTATATCTCTTCCAGAAACACTGGTTTTGTCAGTGTGTTTAAGGGATGCTGACATGAAAACATCCCAGCAGCTCCTGGTACAGAGGCCTGTAGCTATCCAGGATGAGAGTTTGATTAGGAAGGTGTTAGGAGAGCGAAGCATTGTAGCTTTTTATTAAGGCACAAGTTAAGTGTTTGTTTCCTAGCTGTAGAAAAGGCCTCTTAAAGTTATATGATTTTGGTCCAGTGATTTGCCTGTTGGGAGATAAAAGCCTTGGCTAATCAGCAGGGATCATTTATATCCCATGCCACTTAACCACATGAAACACTTAGACCCGTGGACCTACAGTATCTGTGTCTCTAACAGGCAATGAGAAAGTCACTCACACATGCACAGACAATGTGTATTCATGTGCTATATGACAGAGATAATCTGCACATTACATGAGTTTTCCTACTTTTGGAAACATAACCTATGTGTCTGTGTTGTGTGTAATAATTTGGAAAGAGGTTTGTTCTTACCGGAACAGTGTGTTGGGGTCGTAGAGGAGGGCTAACGTTCAGCCAGTGAAAACAAAGCCAAGCAGAGACAGATGATTCAATGTCTCATCTACAAGCATGCTTGTATGCTTCCAGTTGAATGTAATGAACAGAGTATTGGAAATAAGATTTTAGTCACAGGTCCAGATTCACAATGAAAACAAAGGCATCAAAATGCTGAGATTAGAGTAGGGATGGACATAATATAAGTGGTATAGGTGGCTGAGCAATACATTTTTCTTGTTTTCATGAGTGACCCTAAAAAGTGACCATATAAAAACTGAGACAGATCAAACCTCAAGCAGGGAAACTGTAAAAAAAAAATTGCATAATTAGTATTAATTTGACTACTTGGTTCAGTTTATACTTCCATCTGGCAAGAACGACTGTACAGTGTCATCCTTTGGATCACTGACCTTTCAATGCAATGACAACAAGAAGAAGACAGTGTGTATGTGTGTGTGGAGCACAAGGTGACTTCAGCAGTCAGAGTTACAGGAGTGAAAGGGTTAAAGTTAAGCAGCTGCAGAGCTGGGTTATAAATCCAGCACTTCTAAAGGAGAAAAGAAGGCCCTCCACACTCCCATCCACCCTTTCCCCCTCTGAGCGTTCCACAGAAGTGTTGTCCTGTCCATGTGTCAGCGCCTGTGGAAACACACGCCTGCATACAATCAAATGGAAACAATAGACAACAGCTCTCTGTGCTGCGTAAACAAAGCACCGGATCCACGTTTCAATTTGATATTGAAAGTAGCCATGGTGAATCATTTCAATTTTAGATTACACACAACTATAGCATATGCTGATGACTGGAGACAGAAAAAGGATTTTGCACATTTACCCTGAAAGTCTTTTTGATCATATTGCATTAACTGGTTCCTTATTATTACAATGGCCACAGTTTATAGATTTTGTCTGTCCAGATCTGACAGTTTTGCAAGTAACATTCATTTTGAATTGAATCATTAAACATCACATTTACAGCCAAACAAGAAACCCTTGTAATCACAGGTATTAACATGAGTCTGGAGTCCATGCCTCCTTGAAGTGTGTTGACACCACAAGAGTGAGGTTATTGTGTGTTTTTCCAGCTACACAAGCAGTAAAGAAAACCCAGGCAGCTGGATATGAGAACATATAGAGCCAGGCCTTCTCTAGAGTGCCAACTGCATGATATTTTCTTTAGCTACTCAACCAAAAAGACATTTCCTGTATATGCTCTCCCACCCGTCTGCAACCAACCAGTAGATGTCATAGCTCTTCCAAATGGTTTTTCTGGCCTTCCACGAAAGCACATCATGCATCATGCATATTATTAATGTCATTTACCTGAAATGATTCTAAAGAATTCCTTGCTACAAATCTGGAAATTAGTTCTGAAATCCAAATGGCTAACAAAAGACAATGATGATCAAATGTAGTGAAAAACACAACTTTTTCCTGCTCCTGTCCTAACATGGTGGTGTACAGAACACATGAGCTACAGATCAGCATCAACAAAGCTGGAAGGGAGAACACGTTTTGTTCAGTTCTAATGTGCCTGGCCAGATGGTTTTATTCATATAAGAATTTATTCACCATAAGAGCTTTTGCTGCTGCTCCCTGTGATCACACTGGATGTTACTAAAGTGATTCCAGCTTGGCAAGACAAAATCTTCAGCTCTTACATGCTTTCTGAAGTTCCACCATATGATGCCTAAGCAGACTGAGTTATTTTCAAAGTTATATGCTTTTCCTCTTTATGTTACTGTCTGTTCATCAGAGCTCAGCAAGGAAAGATTGCCTAGAGAAACACATGGGACATTTGCATGAAAAAGACTTTCGAGGATTTTATTTCACTAAGTTAAGCTTCAGCTAAACTTTGGATTTACGTGTGGATTTTGTCCCTGGTGTGACCAGCTCTTTCTTCTTGCTGTTATTCGTTGTCTCCTGTCTCGTTTGGGAGGATACGTGCACTCATATGAAACATTAAAACATGCACATGCACGCAGCAGCACCCTGTTAACCACACTTTAATCAGATACTGCTGAGAAGTACATTCCACTACAGAGGAGAGAGAAACAGGGGTTGGGAAAACAGATAGAATCAGACAGAACAAGTGAATGAGCTGGAATAAAAGCAAAAAGTGACTCAGTGAAAAACTGTTATACAAAAAGACCCAAGCAGGAAGCTGAGACTGACAAAAAAACAACCTGCAGCAATTTGGCTCTGCCACTCGCTGGTTTATAGTTTGCTAACATGGTGACTACTTATTCCACATCTGTTATAGCAGCTTTTGCCCAGACAATACTTCTGAATGGACACAGTGTTCATGCGTTGTGTGAGGGCAGTGGCAGCCAGTGGTGGGAAATGGTGATATTTATAGAGCCTTGAAAATACCACAGCTTCCTTTACTTGCCCAATCTTTTTCTGAGATGTTGAGAGTGTGTTGCAGAGTAAATGGGTCTGAGAACATTAGACAGAGAGGGAGGGGGAGTGTTTTTTTTGGACTCTGGGTGGATGAATTCACTTGTTTCCTGTGTTACTTGTAAGGATTTGTTAGGTATTTTTTTAGTCAGATAGAAATTGGTTAGATACTTGTTGTATTAGAAATGTTTAGTGGAGACAGGCTGTCTAGGTAGGCTGTTAAATGCTTAGTCATTCTCATGAGTTTTTTGCAGGGTGCATTATGGTCAAGGACAACTAGATAGAAAAAGTTTGATTGTCAGCAGGCAGGATGATTATTGTTATTATTATGATATGTTTAACCGTAATTGTAATCATAATATTTTCTTATATTTAATGTCATGACATGTCACTAGATGTCATGTCAGAATGTTCTTAGCTACACACCACTTAATCAACAGACACACACATTGATTTTCTCCATGTTTTGACTACTGCTACGGTCAGATGTAAAGCTAGCATATCAGGTGACGCCACGATTTGACGTTCCTGGGTAGAATGGGGCTAGCCCAACCGAAGAGATAAATGTATAGGCCTGTTGTGGTTCAGGGTCTTTCATTCTTCATCTGCCTGCGTGCAGTATTGGAGGTGGAAGATACCTGGACCTGTAATGTTAATTTTACCTATGATCCTTTGAATAAACCAGCACGGTTTTTTATATCCACTTGGACTGCCTCATCTCTCTGAGTTTCCCTGGTTAAGCGTAACTGGGAAAATAGCTTTCAGATTCTTGGAATGTACTCACAACTGACATTAGCAACACCTCCATCACTAGTAATTTTTACAGAGGGAATTAAAAGCTATTAGAATTAAATTTAATTTAATCATTTCTTCATGACTAAAAGCCAAGGTGGTGCACTCTCAAAAAGGAAAGCTCTCTGCAAACACTGAATCTTTATTTCAGTGCAAGAAAAGAAAGGCAAACAGTAAAACTGTACTACAGGAGGGTGATTAATGAACAAACTGTACGGAGGCTTAAGGAAGAATTAGGGGGGCAGGATTGGGAAGCAGTTTACAGAGAGGAAGACTTAGACAAAGCATATGAACAATTTTTAAATATATTTAAGGAAGTATATGACAGGAACTGCCCTCGTAAACAGTATAAAAACAAAAGGAATTACAGTGGGAAACCGTGGATAAGTAAGTGATTACAGAATGCATGTAATAGGAAGAATGCGTTATACAAGGATTTCATAAAGGACAGATCAAAGAAGACAGAAGTAAAATATAAGACGTACAAGAACAAATTAATTGAGATTCTGAGGAGATGTAAGAAACTATATTACGCTAAAGTATTAGAGGATAATAAAAATAACATGAGAGGTACTTGGAATATATTAAATAAATTGATTAGAAATAGTTCCAGCAAGA